TAATTGTACAACCAACAAATTATATTGCTCTGAGACGTTGATACTTTAAATTAAATATTATATTATATTATATTATATTATATTATATTATATTATATTATATTATATTATATTATATTATATTATATTATATTATATTACAGTTACACAAAATAAGTGCCTTGGCAATAGGTTATTTTAACATACAGTATATCCGTCACCCTAACCCCCCATTTTAATGAATACACAAATTCCTTCTCTCCAAGAATAATCCAAAATTGTACACAGGTAAATTATTCAGTATTGGATGAAACTCAACAGACTAAATTAGCATACCAGATTCCAATCAAATTTCTCACTACCACACTCTGTTAACAGACAGAACGCTGGTCAGCAACTAGTGGGCCCAGACAGTTCAAACTTTCAACATTATACTTTATGTCTGATAAATAATGGCAAATTCAGACATTTGGCATCAGCCGAAATAAAGCAGCTAGAACGTGATAAATTGACACATCTGACAGTAATGCGAGGGAGTAAGTGAGTCAATCCCTCAAGCTGTTCTGTAATGGAGTTGGAAGAGACCGTAACTTATGTGTGTCACCCAATAGCAAATTGACATTGAAAATGTGGCTGGAAATATAAAACAAATAATTGTAAAGTTGAGATTTACTATTCTCTGATTACCTTGGATTTCTGTCTTTGTAAGGTTGTTTATGTAATAGCTCGGCAATGTGTATATTTTCCCCAAAATATTGTCTGAGTTATTTTAATTGTTGATGTTACGAAAACTAAAAAATTATGTTTTGTTTATGTTTTGTTACAATGAAAATCAAAGAACACAAGGAAAAGAAATGAAGAAGGAAATTTAAAAAACGTTTCAGTTCTTTTAAAACGAGGCTTCCAAAACACACAGCTACAAATATTTATCCCAGTGATAATCAGATATGTGAGGAATCTTTTTTCCAACCATTTTGGAAAGCAAATTTTCGAATCTAAAATTTATACATTCAATAAAACCAAATTTTATCAGGAGCCTGTGATACCAAATTAGTTACTACAAGTGAAGCTGTCCCTAATCCTGTGATTATGCTTGGTCGATCAGTGGTAGTTAGTTACAGAAAGGTTTTTCAAATTCTCGCGACAAGATGGCTTCATTGCATTTTAGTCATTGTAGTCATTGTTGAATATGAGCTGTGTAATATGGTCACTAACATTTAGAAATTGTGGAAGATGATACTTGGAGATAGTTATGATCACATAATTGAGTTAAACAAAGGATAACACGAGTTATGAAAAACATGTATGACAATGCTATAGGATAAATGAGGTAATACGGATGTTGATTAATTGAGGTGACATGGGCGGAAATAACTTTAATTATACAAGCTCATGTTCGGTTTCCAAAAACAATTCAGAATTTTTTAATTCGATGAAAACTAGATGCTATCACTAACATACAACACAATTAGTTCTTGTTGCTTTAGTCATTTGGCCATATCGATTATACAACATAACAATACACACAGTGACAGTGAAGCTATTAACTTAAATTCTGTTCGATTACATTAAGCACAATTAAATAGTTTTCCTACTACGTATTGCGATTCAAACACATTTAAATTAAATTAAATTCAGTATTTAATGTTTTCCTCGTTCAGTTAAACTTACTTTACCAAGATACACTATTTTAAATTAAATCAAATGAGCTAACCGTCCAAAATGTTCAAGACATTACCTTTAAGAAGTCCCTGGAGACGGAGATGCCTATTTCTCCCGAGGATCTGTTTACTATTACCGTGCAGATGCTGGAGTGGTATTTTTTAGATGGCTTCTTTTTTTGAGAAGCGGTTTACTAGAAGGTTTGATAACAGCAATAACAGCGCATTGCTTGAACTGCCAGTGTCGCTTGTTACAAATTACATTAAATTATTCGTACAATCGTTTCTCAACTTTTTTTTCCAATGTTTTGTTTGCAAATAGTATGTGTGCTGGTGTCATGTCTTTTCCCTGTTCATTAACTATATCTAACAACCGCTATTTCTCCTAAGACAAATCACAAATCCATGTTTAAATCTAGTACGAAACTGGGTTTTAGCACCGTAAGAGAGAGAGAGAGAGATACTGTGAGGGGACAGGGTCGTGAGCCGATATCGATGTCATTGGATTTGAACAGGCTTTTGGTAGATGTCGGATTCTACCAGCAATATGTCGGGAATTCTTTTTTGTTTTACAAAACAATATACTTGTCAATTTAGCCTTTTTAACGTGTTCCAGAAAACTAACATGACTGCGAAAAAAGTTAGTTTTTGCGGTCACGCTGAAAGGACTAAAAGAACAATTATTTCTTTTTGTAAAACACAAAAAAAGTCCCGCCTTTGCCAGTCTATTATTCACCTACTAGGCACCAATATGGTCTTGATGATTTAGGAATGCATAATGAATCGTGCAGAGAATATTAATTCTATTAATGAGTGCAATCAAAATGTGATTATTCTGCATAATTTGAATAAGAACTTGGTTCAGTCACTGCACCCATTAACGTGCACTGCTAACAATGCAATTACTGACAAGCGTTTACCGTTTTTACCGGTGACAAACACATAACTGATTTGGTACCACCTATGGACCTAAGTGCCTAGCTTTTCCAAAAGCGATTTTGTTTAGCCCCAGGGGCAACAGTGTACTCAACTCGAAAATTAGTTGATATCACTGGGATCTTCGTGAGGACGCTGTCTAACAGTGGCTGTATTTATTCTGGTTTATTAAGGGCTGTTAGATTCAGTACACGATGCAGTAATCAAGAGAAGTATTTATGGCGATAGACATTCACAGAGCAAGAATACGTGTCATTAGGCGTCTGGTTTATATTATAAGAAATTTAAAGTTGGCGACCGTATTTCTTGGTGATTTCTGACAAGTTAGACTGTGCTATAGTTGTGAAGGTATAGTTCGATGATTCAGTTCATGCGAATGTAGTCGCCGGCTACATAACATTCACTGGGACGAATTTGATATTTTTTAGGGAAGTTTATTAATAATTGCATAATACAGATGTGACGATATTGGACTGTCAGTTCTCTCACATATTGCATGATCGTTACCAACTTACTTTGCAGTAACGTGTGCGGGTATCCACGTTGGTGTATGTTGAAGGCCGCATTTAGTGATGAACTATACCTGAACTTTTGCTGAGGTGTACATTTTGGTGTACTTGGTTTTCCTAATAAACTATGGTTTCACACAGTTCAGTGTGCATCTTTGTTTTCTAATTATATACGCATTGTGTTGAACTACATAATCCCTGTCTTTTAAATTAGTTAAGAAGATGGTAGAAGTGGCACTATGAAAATAGTGAAAATCTCAATATGGCGAAATAATATGAGCAGCAGTTATCTCTAATGTTTTTGGTTGGTCAAGAAAGAGGGGTACGCCCAATAGGCCTACGGCAACCTAAATAGTACACACTTACACAGCATTTTCAGGATGTTAACTATGATTTATGCTGATGTGTAAATCAAAAGGATTATCTAACATTACCCATTCTCAAAAATACGTATCTGCATATACTGATTATCTCTAAAACCGTTGATATCTATGCTTCATGATGAAAGGGAAAAGAAGTTCAATAATTACCCATTTGGGCTGAATGTAGGCTATGCATTTCACGAAGGTACTTGCAGTGCCACGTGGCTACACAGCAGGTGGCTAGTGTTGATCAATATCGCGA